AGTGGTAAAATCAAACTGGAGGACGGCCAGTGCTGACAATCGGAAACAAGGCAGAAGAAATATGAGGCCAGTGGGTTGGAATTCAAAAAATCACAACTGTGGATCACCTTGCCAAATCTCAACACCCCAGGTGCATGTACAGTGTTCCTACAGGGCAAAGAGGCTAAAAGGGATGCAGGAATGACTCCCTTTCCCCAAAGCAGGTTCCATCTCCCCTCTGGATACAATTCCCTCCACCGAGAATGTGTGTGTAAACCAGCAAGGGCGTCTCAGTGGCTACAGAGCCTGGCTTTGGCACAACCAGAGAAATGAAGTTTGTTAACTCATTTTAGTGTCGTATTCTTCTTTTCCATGTCACAATTTTATACAGCAGTGCCCACAAGGTAAATTTCCTTTTTTTACCATGTTTCTGCCTAAGAAGTGCCAGTTAGCTGCTCCTAGAAAGAAGCAATGTAAAAATTAGGTTTCATTATTTCAACCTGTCTTTGCCCAGAAGTAGCTATTCATGAATATACTGGTGTAAATATCGTAGTGTCGATCTGTTACGCTGAAGGGGGACCAAAGAGAACGCCACCTGAGGTCTGGGGGAAGAACAGAAATTACTGTTTATGACAGAAACAGTGACGACCCAAATCAGACCAATAAAACAAGCTCAGCATGAGAAAGGAGCAGGGAAACACAAGAACTCAAAAAGCAAGAGCCCTTCATACCAAAATGAACTTGAGGCGAATCAAAGATTTCATGGAAACATTGCAGCCTTGGAAGCACTATAGATTTTACCCAGTCATTGAGTAATCATCTTCCCAAGCATGATGTGAAACCCCAAAGGACAAGACTGACAAGCTTGATGCAAATTTAAGCTGCCAGACAGACCAACTGAAACAGAGCACGACGTTCAGAAACAGACCCAGATACAGAGTAAATTTCACAGCTAAAAGCTTATAAAGGCAGCACCCCAAACCAGTTAGGCAGAGATGAGCTTTCTGAGAAGAAATGCTGGGAAAAAGATGTACTTGGAACCATACTGCATACTAATCCAGACAAACTTGTCAAGATAAAAGTATAAAAAGTAAGCCATAACAGTGACAGGAGAAAAAGAAAGAACTACAAGCAGCAGGTACCCATTTAAAAAAAAAATTCAACCTTTCTCACATTAAGAGAAATGTAAACTAAAACTACACTTGGTGACCATTTCTTCTCAAAATGATGTATACCCAAAAGTTAGAAAGATATTTTGCTGGCAAAACTATGAGGAAATGGACACGCTTTCATGCCTTGCTGAAGAGAGCAGAAAATAGTAAAACCCCATTTGCATTTACCCGGCAACCCAGAAATGCCTGTTATAGAAAACAATCCTCCCTGCACTTGCATGATATGGCACCTTTACAAGGTTTTTCACCACAACACTGCTTGTAACAGCAAACACAACAGTCCTTCAATAAACCAAAGTGCTTATACACAATGGAATGACCATTCAGGCGTGCAAAAGTGTTACTCTCTCTACACAGACATGAATAGCCTTTTAAAATGCACTATTTACAGAAAAAAGCCAAGGTGTGGAATCACATAAAGTAAATAGTATGCTGTCTGTTGTTTTTTTAAAAAGGAGGCAATAAGAATATACACTCATATTTGTCTGTACTTGTGATGCTAAAATACAAAGATATACAAGAAAGCAAAATATATGGTTACTTCAGAATGGAGCACACAAGAGTGGGGGGCAGCAAGATTTCTCAGTGTGTAACTTTATATTATTTTCATCTTCGAACCCTAAAAATGCAGTAATATACATCAAATTACAAAAGAAAACCCACTCACTTACAGAATAAAAAATTAAATTCGTTCATACACACACCAAGTTCCTTCTAGAAAACAAGTCCATTAAAGAATAAATGACAGGCCAGGCACAGTGGCTCATGCTCGTAATCCCAGCACTTTGTGGGGGCCACGGTGGGCAGATCAGTTGAGGTCAGGAGTTTGAGACCAGCCTGACCAACATGGTGAAAACCTGTCTCTACTAAAAATATAAAAATTAGCTGGGTGTGGTGGCGGGTGCCTATAATCCCAGCTACTTGGGAGGCTGAGGCAGGAGAACTGCCTGAACCCAGGAGGTGGAGGCTGCAGCGAGCTGAGATTTACCACTGCACTCCAGTCTGGATGACAGAGCCAGACTCTGTCTCAAAACAAACAAACCAGAATAAATGACTTACTGAAAAAATATCAGAAATAAATAAGGCAAGGATTATTTCTCAAGCTCTTTCTTATCCATCAGAAAAGATGACAACCGAAAAGACAAATGAAGAAAGGAACAATTTGCGAAGAAAGAAACAGAAACAACTAACAACACACAAAGAAAAGATGTCCACATATAACTAAAGAAAGGCAAATAAAAACAATAAAATACCATTTTTACCTGTCAGTTACTCGCACATACTGCTGGGAAGACTATAGACTGGTGAAACCTTTGTGGAGGGCAATGTGGCGATGGTTATCCAAGCCTAAAGCAGCCACAGCCTTCAACCCAGCAATCGCGGCCACCTCACCCCATGGCCACGCGTGGACAAGTCCACCCTGCATTTGTTCTAGCATGTTGCTTTGCAGCACTGTTTTCGATAACAAAAATAAACAACTCGAATGGGTAACAACGAGGGCCCTACTAAACAAATGATGGTACAGCCACATAATGCAGTACCACACAGGCATTAAAAAGAGTGAGGGTTACCCTGTAAGTGTGAATATAGAAGATCACCAAGATGTGCCATTAGGTTAAAAAAAATGATGCAGAAAAGTATATATAGTAGGACCCCCCCATGTGTAAAATGTGAGAGGGCCTGGAAGTGGGGGAATGGGGGAACACCTCGACTTCTTTTTGCATACTTTGTCAATTTATATACATTTTTGCTCTGTTTGAATTTTAACTATGACTTTAAAAAAAAACATAAGAATTTAAAATATATTTTGGCAATCACTTGCTAAGCATCTACCAAAGAAAGTAGATTTTTAGTCTGGCCAACACTGCAAAACCCTGTCTCTAGTAAAATACAAAAATTAGCTGGCTGTTGTGGTGGGCACCTGTAGTCCCAACTATTTGGGAGGCTGAGGCAGGAAGGGGAATCACTTGAACCCAGGAGGCAGAGGTTGCAGTGAGCCAAGATCGCGCCACTGCACTGCAGCCTGGGTGGCAGAGCAAGATCCTGCCAAGACAGAAAGAAAGTAGATTCTTTATCATGCATACGTTATTCTCCAATATTTCTATGTAACAACAGGGATGGGGCAACGAAGACAATTCTAACCAACAATATAAAACCAGCAGCAGCACCCTTGCATATCACCTCAAGCTGTATTTTCAAGCTAACAAGATATGAGACACGGGCTGCAAATCAAATGGGCGCACATTTCCACAAGAGTCTCTATGTTCAGGACTCCATAAACAGCACGACCACTACAGCCCTGGAGACACAATCGCGGTTCTGGATTCACTGCTGACTTCAACCTAGCTGGCTTCTTTGCACTTCCGCTTCCCCATCTGTAGAAGAATATGTGTGGTGCACGTTCGTGTGTGTGAATGGCAGGGAAAGACTATTAGATGATTTTAAAACTATATGAGTCTAACTTAAAAGTACTGCAATCTTTGAATAGGTATTTTGAAAAAAACTCATTGATAATTTGAAAAGTAGCAAACATGTTCAAGCTGCTCTTAGGGTAGGCTGAAAAGAAAATCCATCAATAGTGTCTGCTAACATCAAACCAATATCACATTGCTAAAGTAATTATATAAAATATAAAAGTATTTTCAAGGCCAGGCACAGTGGCTTATGCCCATAATGCTAGCACTTTGAGAGTCTGAAGCAGGTGGATAGCTTGAGCTCAGGAGTTCAAGACCAGTCTGGCCAACATGGCGAAACTCAGCCTCTAAAAAAAAAAAATACAAAAAATTAGCTAGGCATGGTGGCATGCTCCTGCAGTCCCAGCTACCCAGGAGGCTGAGGTGGGAGGATTGCTGGATCCCAGAAGGTCGAGGATGCAGTGAGCTGAGATAGTGCCACTGCACTCTAGCCAGGGCAAAAAAGTAAGACCCTGTCTCAAATATGTATATGTATACATATGTAAGATTTCAGCCTTAATTTTTAAACAGCACATGGGTATAAAATCCCCCATTAACTACTTTAGTTTTGTCCCTCTGAGCCAACTGCTAATGTCACACTGACTCTGAAGATCTGCAGTGGTGCCATGACATGAACACTTAAAATTCTGAAATACGTTGTGGTCCCAGCTTTTGGGCAAGTGGGGACATGAGGCTTGTAGAGATTCAAGACTTCGTAACATAATGGAGGATAGCAGCATGAGAGGTAGGCATGCTGGATACCATGGCCATGGAAATGACCATTTCTAGTAGCTATACACTGTCAAGAGTTCCTTTACATAGGTAAAGCTAACTTCAGACTATTCCTATCTAGTTCCAAAAATCCATAGTTGCTCATGTACAAAGAGAATTCTATCAATGTCAAAGAGAAAACATATTACCACCAATTATCTTGTATGGTATATTAAGTGCCAGGAAAAGGTAGGCACTGACTTTCATTTTTCTGTATCCGTATTTGTTGATAGATGATCTATGTCTGTCCCCTTTTTCACTACTGCCTTTAGGCTGAGCAGAGGCTAAAGGAAAAGTAGGCCAAGTATATTTAATATTTTATATCAAACAAGTTATTTGCTTAAGAAGCTTTGGCCAGCCTTGTGTCTGGCACTAGCGCCCAGCCTGACAGTTCCAGTAGGAATTAAACACCAGTTTTAATGGGTGCTGTGTTCCAATGCCTACTAATGCATTGACAGTTGTTGGCCAACTTCTTCACATAAAGACAAGAGTGAGTGTATGTGTGTGAACATGTGTGTGTGCCCACGTGTACGTATGGAGGGATTACAGGGGGGAGCTGGCCACAGCTGCTTAATTTTTGTAAAGCTTTTTTTCCTTAATAGGGAGGAGGGTTGTGGTTACTTACCATCCTCATAAGCTGCTACTGCCAGTGAGCTGTTTATCCTCACAAAGGAGACATTTGGCTGCAGTCCAGGCTCGTCCTCCTCGTCCTCTGATTCCAAGAAGGGGGCTACGTAGTCCCAGGTGCGGGTGTCCCACACTCTCACATCCCCTGATGTATATCTGGAAGAGAATGACACCCTTGGTTCCAGAAGGGGATTGAAGAGCAGGGCTATGGTGGGGGAAAATGCATAGATCCTTACAACAACGGACAAGTAAGAATCGGGTGGTGTGGAACCACTCCTGCAGCACTGTTTAGATGAGTGACTCCAACAGGAGAAAATGTCAACTAGATGACAGAAGGCTGCGAACACGCTTCACATTCTCACAGCACAATGGTGACAATTTCAATTGAGAAAACAATAACAAGACATGGGTAGTGAGATCTCCTTGCTTTTCCTTTTACACTACTGCAACAATCTGCTCCTGCAAGCTCTCCCACTACAGGGATCACTCGCAGAAATTTGTATAAGCCACACTACCCACAAACACACACTCACTCACGAAAGACAGAGAGAGCTGTGGCAGGGATACTCAGAACTAATGGTCTTACAGGCACAGGCTTTCTAATACCTCATCCATGCATCAGATTTGACTGATTAAAGTCCCTAAAGACTAATTGATTTGCTGAAACAATTAAATCTTGCCTTTAGCAGCCAGACAATGCTGCCTGCTCATGAAAAGCTCTTGCTGAATGCACAACACTCCCTGGTTTTGCCCACTTAGAAAATAGAAGTACTCACTCTCCCCTATGACTAGTGCCACTCCAACAAATGACTCCTTCCATCAAAGCCACGGCCAGGCCGAACCTACTCAGACATGAGGCCCCCAGGATGACAGAATGGCCAGATGATTAAGTAGGGTGCGCCCACCACCAAGGTATTTAAGCTATGTTGCTTATGTCGGCTGCAGAGGGTTTTATTCCACTTGTAAAGCAACTGAGTGTTATGGAGGAAAAGGGGTGAGAGAAGCCTTTAAGGGCCTCATGATAGAACCACACAAGACAGGCCAATGAGGTTAAGGGGTTCACAGTCTTCCTGAGGCCACAGCCCCATGATAGAACCACGTAATTGCAAAGACAGGCTGATGAGTTTAAGGGGGTTCACAGATTTCCTGTGGCCCTAGCCATCATTCCTGCAGCGTTTCTTTGGCGAGCGGATGAGATAACCTCTGAGATTCACTGAGTCACTGAAATCTATGATACATTAGTGAAGTAGCCATAGAAGATCAATTTGGAATTTATTTCTTTTTTTTTTTTTTTTTTTTTTTTGAGACAGGGTCTTACTCTGTTGCCCAGGCTAGAGTACAGTGGCACAATTTTGGCTCACTGTAACCTGTCTCTTGGATTCAAGCGATTCTTCTGCCTCAGCCTCCCGAGTAGCTGGGATTATAGGCATGCACCACCAAGCCCCACTAGTTTGTTTTTTCAGTTTTTAGTAGCGATGGGGTTTTAGACCCAGCTGGTCTTAAACTCCTGGCCTCAAGCGATCCACCCACCTCAGCCTCCAAAAGTGCTGGGATTACAGGTGTGAGCCACTGCAACTGGCCTCAGGTGGAATTGCTTATGGAAAAGTACTCTGATTCAGGAGTGCTTTGTTTTCTAGTAGTACTGCATCCAAATTATTAATCTACAGTAAATACATATACTGCACAGTCCAAAGGCCATTCTGTCACCCCAATTCCCTGGTTGGAGAACTCAGCTCTCTACCTGCAAGGTGGCACCCAGAGAGTGTGCATGTGGGTAAAGAGCCAAATGGGAGAAATGTGCTTTCTGATACTGGCCTGCTGTACCTCTGGGTTGACCACTGATCCTCCAGTAAACAGAAACACAAGATGAATGTCCTTAAGCCTGGCAATGTGCAGGCAAGGGCAGATACCAGTATCACCGCCACCAAAGCATGGCCCCTGCCCCCCAGCTCTCCAGGCCGCAGTCAGCTCACCCTTCTGAATGAGGAGCCCTACACTAGAACACATACCCCAGACCCCCTGCCCTCAAAATACCAAGCTCAGTGTGACACCCTGAGAACGACTCAGGCCATTCTCTGGAGTAAGGCCACTTGCTTCGCTACAGAGACACTGAACAGGTGTGACGTGTTTGAATGGCTAGACTGTGTGGGACTAGATTCTGAAGGTTAAATTCTATGTGAAAGGAACTAGCCAATTCAGGAAAGATGAGAAGGATGGCAACGTCTTTCAGAAATACAGAGATGGTAAGTGAAAAAAAAAATACAGGGAATTCAGGAGATCAGAAGAGTAAGGCACACTGAGGAAGAAGTACATAAACTAGGAAACTGTATTTCCTTCCTGCCAGTCTCTGTCCTTCTGCTTCCTGCTAGCCATGTGTCACACCATGTCAACAGTCTGCACACTGTTCTTAGTGGTGCCCCCCCCGCCCCGCCCAGGAGACACAGTGGGGAGGAGAGGGTGGAGAGGAAAGACGGTTTCGATGGCTTCAGCTCCAGCCCCCCAGCTCCCTAAACACAAAGAGTTCTGAGCCAAAATGACAGCAAAACAACAAAGCCTGGAAAAAAGGTGCTTTAGCTGCTGAACCAGACAATAGTAAGCTGTCAGACAGAAACTGTTGAGCCTGCTCCTTACTCAGGAAAAGAGGAGAGAGGGACGGTAGGAACTCCACGGAGAACCGCGCTCTATTCATATCTGAGGGGCTCCTGGGCAAGCCTTTCTCCCACAGAGGAGGCTGGTCCACTCACACTGGGACTCCACAGGTCTAAAATCAAATGCTTCAGCTCATGGCCAAACTAGCCTGTGTCTGAATCGCTTATCTTTATCAATGGCAGCATCAGTCCCAGGTCACTGGTACAGAAGTAAAGGGGCTCCTTCAACACCGCGTGGCGCACACGCACACCACTATATATGCTCAGGTGTCAAGTTCATTCTGTTCTGCACATTCCCGGAGAGGCCACCCTGGTCCAAAACCCCCAACACCTCACACTCACACCCAACTACTACAGGATCCCTGCTTCTGAGCTTCTTCCATTCAAACTTCCCTGCACAAGCCAAGCCCTTTATTTATTTTTATTTTTTTACAATCAACATTTTTTGTATTGCATTTTAGGTTTTGGGGTACATGTGAAGAACATGCAAGATAGTTGCATAGGTACACACGTGGCAGTGTGATTTGCTGCCTTCCTGCCCTTCACTTACATCTGGCATTTCTCCCCATGCTCTCTCTCCCCAACTCCCCACCCCTCGCTGTCCCTCCCCTACTCCCCCCAACAGACCCCAGTGTGTAGTGCTCCCCTCCCTGTGTCCATGTGTTCTCATCGTTCAACACCCGCCTATGAGTGAGAACATGTGGTATTTCATTTTCTGTTCTTGTGTCAGTTTGCTGAGAATGATGGTCTCCAGGTTCATCCATGTCCCTACAAAGGACACAAACTCATCATTTTTTATGGCTGCATAATATTCCATGGTATATATGTGCCACATTTTCCCAGTCCAGTCTATCATAGATGGGCATTTGGGTTGGTTCCAGGTCTTTGCTATTGTAAACAGTGCTGCAATGAACATTCGTGTGCATGTGTCCTTATAGTAGAACGATTTATAATCCTTTGGATATATACCCAGTAATGGGATTGCTGGGTCAAATGGAATTTCTATTTCTAGGTCCTTGAGGAATCACCACACTGTCTTCCACAATGGTTGAACTAATTTACACTCCCACCAGCAGTGTAAAAGTGTTCCTATTTCTTCACATCCTCTCCAGCATCTGTTGTCTCCAGATTTTTTAATGATCACCATTCTAACTGGCGTGAGATGGTATCTCAATGTAGTTTTGATTTGCATTTCTCTAATGACCAGTGATGACGAGCATTTTTTTATATGTTTGTTGGCCTCATGTATGTCTTCTTTTGTAAAGTGTCTGTTCATATCCTTTGCCCACTTCTGAATGGGCTTCTTTGTTTTTTTCCTTGTAAATCTGTTTTAGTTCTTTGTAAATTGTGGGTATCAGCCCTTTGTCAGATGGGTAAACTGCAAAAATTTTTTCCCATTCTGTTGGTTGCCGATTCACTCTAATGACTTTCTTTTGCATTGCAGAAGCTGTGGAGTTTGATTAGGTCCCATTTGTCTATTTTTGCTTTTGTTGCCAATGCTTTTGGTGTTTTGGTCATGAAGTCCTTGCCTACTCCTATGTCCTGAATGGTTTTGCCTAGATTTTCTTCTAGGGTTTTTATGGTGTTAGGTCTTATGTTTAAGTCTTTAATCCATCTGGAGTTAATTTTACTGTAAGGTGTCAGGAAGGGGTCCAGTTTCTGCTTTCTGCACATAGCCAGCCAGTTTTCCCAACACCATTTATTAAACAGGGAATCTTTTCCCCATTGCTTGTTTTTGTCAGGTTTGTCGAAGATAGGATGGTTGTAGATATGTTGTGTTGCTTCCAAGGCCTCTGTTCTGTTCCATTGGTCTGTATCTCTGTTTTGGTACTAGTACTATGCTGTTTTGATTACTGTAGCCTTGTAGTATAGTTTGAAGTCCGGTAGTGTGATGTCTCCTGCTGTGTTCTTTTTGCTTAGAATCGACTTGGCTATGCAGGCTCTCTTTTGGTTCCATATGACATTTAAGGTGGTTTTTTCCAGTTCTGTGAAGAAGGTCATTGGTACCTTGATGGGGATAGCGTTGAATCTGTAAAGCCCTTTAAAACACCTGACTGCACAAATCTTTCTTCTGGAAACACTCACTTTCTCTCTTACATGCCACTGTGCCTCACTACCATCTACCTTGATGGCAGCCTGAACATCTCTCTCATGGCAGTTGTGGGTGTCTGTGATCATCTCGCTGTTCACCTCCCTACCAGCTTGAAGCTTCTGAGCTCAGGACTTGTGTTTTTTTCACAGCTGTGCATGCAATGACTAGAAGAGTCAGACTAGAACACGCTTGCCACATACCCAGGGATCCCTCTATAAAGTCTTTCATCTTAACACCTTATTGAATGAAGTTTTAATTATGGGATCTACTGAAAACCTTCCACAAACTAGCTTCCACCCCTCTCCTCAGCCTCATCTTCTACTCTCCCTTCACACAAGCCGGCCTCCAGAGAAGCTCCCAAATGCTCTTGCCTCAGAACTCTGATTCCCCGACTCACCTGCCTGCAGTCCCTCACC